TGGTAATTTTTTTTTTGTTGATTGACCAGTCAATTGACCGAAATAATTTTTAAAATCCCATGAAATTTATCTTTATTTATTTATATTTAGTTTACACTACAATTGTACGATATCACAACACTAGTTGAAGCAGAATAGATTCCGCATTACGCATCCAAGAATTACGCTTTTCATTTAAGTATGATTCGTAAAAAAACATCAACTTAAAAGCATATATTAAGTACAGTTTGGTGCTTTGACTGAGTTTTGGAATCTTGGAAAGATAGTTAAGTAAATTAATTGAAACGACATTTTTTTAAAATTCAACAACTTTTTAGCGCTTTTAATGTATTATTTAATGTATGTATTAAATACTTTTATACCTGCACATTTTTAATTAATTCTCTAGCTAAAGCAGTGGTGAGAAGAGTAATAACGTGAAGTACCAAACGATTTAAAGACGAGAGACAAATGGTGATGCTAATAGGAAGAACAAAAAACTATTATTGATTTTGCAGATACCGATAGGGCCAGTTATGCTGTAATTTAGAAACAAAAACAACAACAACTTTTCGAAAGCCGTACTTTAAATTCTTAAAAACCTTTTAATCCCAATTGCATATCGCAAAAATCGAGAAGTAAATTAAGGCATACAAACCCAATACATAAACAACTATCTTAAGTTGTACAAATGATTTGGTCCTTAGATGGTTAAAGTGTGCTAAGAGTCCCAAAGAAAGCTAGGCGCCACCCGAAAGTGGAAAACCAAAACAAGAAAATATTAAAACTTGAAAAATTTAGAGCTATTTAGAGCAGGAGATCGAAAGAATGAACATAAACGTCATAGGGGTGAGCGAAGTTCAATTGGCTAGAACAAATCAGATCGATGTTCACATTTTAATGGTGTAGCCATATTCAAATAGAATTGCCATAATACAAATAAAAGCATACCGAAACCGTATAAATATCATTCAAGTTTACACATTCACTGCAGAAACACCAGAACAAAACTGGATGGTAACAAAGAAAACGAGTATAAGAAATCCGATGGAGCATATTCTTATAGATCATTGTATATTATGCAACAAGTTCGGTAAACGGCAATTGTGTTTAATAAACGAGTGACTTAAACAGTTTACCGAACTATACTTTTTCTACGGCATGACCGACAGAATTAACAAACGTCAAAATTCAAGGCGTGGGAAATATCTCCGAAAATATCCGATTGCTCCCAAACCCGTGCGGTAAAAAAATCCCGGAAATGTCCAAAGTGGCTCGGATCAGAAACTCGCGTGGTAAAGTGACGCTTCCCGCACGCTATATCGATATGTAATTAGGTACTTTACGGACGTGAAAAAAAATATAGAAACGGAATTAAAGCTGTGAGAACTTTTCCTGTATCAGACCACAATCCACAACTTAGGAAAATCCAGACGAAAAGGCACACGGGACCTGATTTTGAAAGGTTAAGAAAATTCGAAATAAGATAAAAGAATATAAGATATGAACTAAACAAAAAACTTGGGGAAATTACACAACGAGGTCAAATAACCAACAAGGATTGCAGCATGACAGAGAAGGAGATACGTTTGGTTTCAAGATAAACTCCGAAAAAACGAAAGCGATGGTGCATTTCTTAGAATGAAAAGACACATTTCCAATAAGATAGTCCTAAGAAGAATGAACAGGGATAGAGAATTTTTAGAAATGATCAAGAGACCCAAGACCGGGACCCATAAATAAGAACGTACATAGCTATATATAGGAACAAGATATTAAGATTGATTATGGAGGGTAAGATTTAGGAAAACGAAGGATGGATAAAAAATATTAGAGACTGGACTGGTTCATAAGAAGGCGGCACCTTAAGAAGAAGAATCCCCAGACCCTGATATTCACTCATTACATTATATTCTATAGCACCCTCTATATATTATTTTGTTCTATCTAGATGTTAATCTACATTCTAAGGTCTAAAAGAGCGTATCCGGGTCAGAATATTGCTCAACGATACCGTGCGGACACGAGCATTGCTAATTTACACGCGGGAGGAAAAAAACGTTGCCTATCTGACATTTTTGCAAGTTCAATCTTCGGTGACATTCCGCAAGTTTGGCATTTGTTCTCGCGGTGATTAATATCCTACGCATACCGCGCAAGGGTGAAAGAATTTCACGATATAATAATGGTTTTACGCCATGATTTGGGTTGGCCTCGTTAAATAGAGCGTCGTGACGCCTGCAAAGGGGGAGAGAATAGAACGAGGGTTATAAATACGCGGGCTCGTGGTGGGCAATCAATCAACGCCAAAATTAGACGTATGCCAACGTGGCCCAAATTCGAATTTTGGGAAAGCCCCCCTCGTTTGTAGGTCACAATCGACGCGGACGCATTATGCATAGTTTATAAACCCTTATTGAGTTCCGCGGGTTAGTGGAAAAAGTCGGTTTTCGACGAAAACTGACGCCAGCAAGTTCCAGAAATCTCCATGAGCTCCGACTCAGTATTCTTAAACAATAGTATTTTAATAGTTTATTAGTTAACATTTTGTCGAATTAGTGGCGACGGAGTATCATCCTAGACCTAAATGGAAAACATTTAAAGCGAAAGATCTAAAGTTGCGATTCGACCTAGTCATAATGGAATGGAAGAACAAAATATGATTATTATTATTAATGTTTGCAGCATGTTACACAAAGGAAATCGATTAGAAAATAATTATTAATTCTTACAAGAACTCAATTACTTTAAACTGTCTTTGCAAACGACTCAATGAACTGCTCAGGCCATAGTTAGTATAGTGGAGACCAAACCTAACGAATACCCGCTAAACCTACTTATAAACCCTAAAGTCCTGTGGCCTTTAGCTTTTGTATAATTTAAATGATTTCACAAAGTTTGCATAAAATCAAGCAAGACTTAAATTATTAATAAATAATTGAATCATTATTTAATTATTGAACCGAAGAGGCTTTTAATTAATGAAAATCCATTTATCAAAATAAATAAGAACTAAAGGTTCAGATTTTCACGAAATTATATATTTTTACATGACAATTGTTTCGACAACACCGTGTCTTTATCAAATGTTTAATTTATTTATTTAATTCACCCTTTTTAAGGGCTTGCAATTAAATAAATAATCAAAATTAATTGCTAATGTCAAGCAGCGGTAAATTGAATTTGTATCGGACTAGACAGTTACAGAATCTATAAACCCTTAATTGAACAGACCAATATGTGATCCCTGAGGTACACCTGAAAGAACGTCAACTCGTGTTTTCTGTATTATCAAACCGTTGATTCTAGACAGACTAGACAGGCAATTTAGAAAGTTTCCACCAAAACCAAGAGCACTATTTGAATATCAATTATATTTTCAAAAGCACCCAACTTTGATACATTAGAAGATTCATAGCAATAGATCGTAACAGTATTATCAAAGAGGATTTAAAAAAATGTGGGATATCTTGATAAAGTGATACAACCTTAAATAATAAATAAATAAATAAATAATAACATCAAGAGACGACAGTTCCTCCGATCCTTGTTAATATTTCATAAATTCCCTTCTGTAAAATACATAATTGTACAACGATCTAGCGTGCGGAAAGCGTCACTTTAGCATGTAAGTTTCTGATCCGAGCCACTTCGGACATTTCCGGGATTTTACCGCACGGGTTTGGGAGCTATCGGATGCTTTCGGAGATTTTACTCCATGGCTTGAATTTTGACGGTCATATCAGTGAATGTACTCGTGTTGTTTTGCAAAAATGTACTCAAAAACTAACGGCATTTGACTCACTAGTTTATTTGACACGAGCGGAGCGAGTGTTTAATAAACGAGTGACTTAAAAAGTTTACGGAACGTGTTGCATACTATACTTTTTCTACAACGGTTAGTTTTTGGGTACATTTTGACAAAACAACACGAATTCATTCACTAACATGACCGTCAGAATTGACAAACGTCAAAATTCAAAGCGTGGGAATTATTTCCGATTGCTCCCAAACCCGTGCGGTAAAATCCCGGAAATGTCCGAAGTGGTTCGGATCCGTGGGAAACGAATAGGCGTGTAATTAGGTATATTACAAACTTTTTAAGTCACTCATTTATTAAACACTCGTGACTCAAATGCCGTTTATCGCACTTGTTGCATAATATACTATTACTGGCATATTTGAACTCATTCCCTAAATACAAAATTGGCATGATTTTTGAATTATTGTTGAATTTTAAATTGTTTAGTTTTTTTTTTACAGCCCATACGAACGAATTTATTGCATTTATGGCGTTTTCGAGCCGATGATGAGAAAAATTATTGGGGAATCACCCTGTTAACATTTTTACATTTACGGCGAGTTTTTATCACTCTGGAAATGCACGACATTAAGAAGATATAAAAGAAACAAAAACGTGTACCCGAAGCCATTAATTGTGCCACTATTTTCAAATTTTGCAAAAAAGAAAACAACGAATTTTGACGAGTATATGTAGATGGATTTTTTTTCCTTTAGTATAAAATTCCACCCGTTGAAATACTCTCAACGATTTAGACAAAGTTGACCTTTCCTCTCCGTTATCCACGTTCTACAATAAAAAATGTAAAAATTGAAAATAAAATGCATTTTTGATGCGAGCCTTAAGTGTTGGAAAGGGGAAATTAAAAAAATCTTTCACGCCATTTTCCGTTCGTCAATTTCTTTAAAGGTTTGTTTGGAGAAAACACCGATACTGCACCCGCCACTGTAGTTAACGAGACAAGGAGTATAAGTCGCAATAACCGCTAATAAGTCACCCGATAGAATTGATCAAAGTTAAAATTCGAAATTTGATTTGGGTATTGGCCAAATAGTAACATGTATTTTACTTCTGCATTTATTTGTGAGATCACCGAAATAAATTTTAGTCTCAAGGCCGTATGAGCAGGACAACAACATACGCGAGACCTTTACCTACATTTGCTAGCGAACAAAATAGGAGTTAAAAAACCATTCATATTTTTTTCTGTTTCCCTTACCTTGGAGGAAAATAGCACTCTTCCCAACGTTGGAATTATTTTTCTTATTGGATTCGGTGGCACTGGACGATCTTATACGTCCGTTGGGTGGATCGCCGTATTGATTTTCGGCTTTGGCTTGTTCACGGCATATTTTGAAGCGGCTGAAACGAAAAGAAAATATTAGCTGCAAATAAAATACGTAACATATAGTGAGTCAGATTATTTTTAGACAAAATTTAAGGCAATATTTACACGCTTTTCGAACAGAATTGAAAAACAAATAAACCCTATGAGTTGAACGAGCTTCCGAATTTGGTAACTGGAAGATATCAGAAGCGTACTACGAAAAATGATGAGAAAATCCGACCTTAAACTACATACGTATACCCAAAACTAAGAGGAAAATAAATAAATTCTACTAATGATTTTTAGCTCCACTTCTGCCCCTTTTTTATATTACCTTTATATTAAATACAAGTTAACAATGCTCTCAAACACTATAGACTGACGAATCTGTGTTTACACTTTAATATGGCACTGAAAACTTACTTATAACTTCAACCTAATTTAGTAGTTAACATATTATAAACATTAAAGAGAGACTACATGAAACAAATGGAATGGAATTACACAATTACACAATTTATATAAATATTAGCAGTGAACCAAGTTATTTTATTATTTATTAGCCACTCCGGAGACTTTATTTTGTAAAATGGTTTGTTCTTATTCTCAATAAGTAATATGTATGTAGTTTGTCTAGCAATCTAAGGTCAAATTATGGTTTGTTTTATTGCGTCCCATGCAGTGATAAACAGTAGTAAAGTATTGATTCAACCACCGCATACTATACACACATTTTAACATTTTTGTAGCCTGTTTAAGTTAATAATATTTATGGATCCTGCCATCTTAAATTTGAATTAATAATAACTAAAAGACATTTAATTTTATTGATTAGTTGCCGTTAGTTTTCAGTGGGGGCGGTTTTGTCAGTCGAAGCTGTGAACAGTTATATGGACGGCAGCTACTGCGTAATCAGATTTAGTTAGTGATGAATTAATAGTGTAATTAATAAAGTGGCCCTTTGGGCGTGCTTTTTGGAGTACAAAAAATATATCGTCATCTTGACTAGATGTTTCAAGAAAAAAAAATTCTTCAAAAAGCTCTCCAGCACAAAAATTGTACACCCCATATTGAGGAAAACGTTCAAGACATCGGCTTTAACGCACCCTCTGATCATAGACCTTGTTGATAAAAATACTTATCCATTCAGAATCGGTTATTATTGGCACGTAGGGTACTAAAAATGTCATTGCCAACTGCGTTTGCGGAGGCGGATTCCGGTGCAAAAAAAAACACAAACACCATACCAAAAGGTAAAAGCACAATTTGCAAACAAACAACAATCATACGCGGAACGTCACCATAATGACTCGCACGAACCGCGAAGTCCTGCTGCGAAATATATAGATTTGTTTATCGTTTCCTTAACGGACAACTGGTTGTCGGCCTAACAGGAATTAAAGTTAATTTTATCATAAACGAAGTTTGTTTTTGTACTACGCTGTTCAGTAGGCCATATCTCTGGGTATGAATTTCGAAGAATTCACGGAAGAATAAAATTTCCAATGAAAAAAAGGCTGTGCGGTGTACAGGCTGTCTTATTTTCGACACTTTTGCTACGTATTTAATTTATATTTAAAAATAAGAAAATGCGATTTTCTACTTTTTTATGCAGTCCTTTTTTTGGGATAAAGGAAACTTTTGAAAAACATGACATTTTAACGCAGCTAATAACTGTTTCTTTTATAACTTTTCGCGCTTTCAGAACAAATGTACAAGATTAGGTTATTTGATTATGATAGAGAATCTGGGCTTTTCATAAAATAGTAAATGTACGTATTTATTTGAAAAAACATACCTAAAATTTAGCATTTTTATAGTAAATGTTCGCATAATCATTCTATGTAAGAGTTTTTTAATAAAATTTTATATAAAATAAGGGAAAAAACACGACACGATTAGTAATATTTAATGTATTAAGCTTCTTACTATGATTACGTGTTGAATTCATTCCTATTGACCAAACTTAACACATTAAATAAAATAAATCACTCCTGAAAGTGATAAATTTTAAGGTTACTTTTAAAAATAATTATGTACAAATTGTTGGAAAGCTTACATCATTCTTTATCAACTACAATTACAAAACTAACCAGAACTCAGCAAATTGACTGTTGGGCATTCTTGAAGATTTTGACAGAATAAAACAGCGGACCTCCGTTAAATATTCGGAAAAATCTTTAATAAAATAACATATCTAAATCTATTTTAAGTTTTTTTTTTTCAAATAACCACATCAAAATAGAAAAGTACATGCAGTGTATGGAAAACACTAAAGTATGATCAAATAAATTTTTAGGCCGACCTCACATATTCATGGTATTGCGATAAGTTATCAAATAAACAAGACACAGGGGCTAAAATTTTTAATGCATCATTTGTATGTCAAAAACGAAAACGACTAGTTTATGAAACATTGCGTTTAACAAAAAAGAAGCGCGTCATTGCGAAAATCGTACCTTCCTATTTTTAAAGATACAATAAAGATAAAATGGCGCATGCTATGCACCCTTTCCTCGGCGGTTTACTCCTCGAAATAATACTTTACAATTTACACGGAATAACCAACAATATTCTCATGGGAGAATATTAAGTTGATATTAACATAAACCAGTTCCGCCAAGGTCATTCTACGATATTATGATGTTTGCTCAGTTAGGTCTGGTCAGTCACGCACCGTAATTCACAGTCGCACCATAGGGATCAGATCTGATAGCGCTGAAATATTGATAAATGTGGCCCAATTTAGGAACGTCGCGTATATGAGGGGCGTTCATTCAAATCCAGACATCTCCACTTGCTCGAAATGAATTAGAGAGCGAGTATTCCACCATTACTACATCTCATTATTTAACAACTCCAAGTCTTTGCATACACGAGCATGGAATTCGCGGGAGCTCCAAACCTCCAATTTGAACTTCATTAACTTGAAAATTGTGGTAATAACAACTAAAGTTGTTCACAACATTGACTGTGAAACAACTACAACGACTTATTTCGAAATATCGTTAAATATCATCGAAGTTCGACCGACTTCATCTTTAAAACCAACTTGGAACTTTGTGCCATGCCCTATTTTAAAACTATTAACTATTCTTGGAGATTTGCATATTCGGTTTTTTTAACACCGACTTGTCTTTTGGGTTGACGGTTTTCGAGCAATGTTTGCGAGAGGTCGACTGCAAATCGATTCCGATTTATGTTAAGATACTGGAGTGTTGCCAGTAGCCGATACATGAAATAAATAAGAAATCGACATTAAATATACGAATTTTTTTTATAGACATACTGCCAAATTTCAAGTTATCTGAAGTTTAAATATATAAAAGTTTAAGGTGATAAAGCGAGCCTTGAATATCTGCATTTATATACGAGTATACCTTAATTAGTTTATCTAAAAGTGTACTCGAGAACGAATAAATTTACAGCAATTTGACTGGTTTATTTGTTATAACAAGTGTCCAAGATTTAAAAAAATATATATCGATTTGATTTTCATATCATTAATAAAGTCAACCAACTTTCATGCTGTGAGTTAGTTTTGATTGCATGCATTTAATTACCTAAACCATTTTTCGGCAATTTTTGCAAAACAAGACAAATAGTTTGAACTATTTTTATGGTTTCTAGCGCTTCAAGATTCACCACCACACCTATCTGTACTTTCCCGCTTTAGCATCAACAACTCATCTGAAATACCTTCGTTTTTTATTTTGTATTTCTTTCTCTACTCTTTTTATATAAAGTCCTTTTCTTGATCCACCTGGAGCAACTCACCTGCATTCTATTTTTTTTAATCAAATTGTCGCGCTAAGTTTATCACTTACACCCTTATTGTGCTCTGCCATTACCATTTTTTTTTATTGGATCATTTTCATCTGTTCTTTTTCTTGATTTGGGCACTTTGTACTTTTGGCACGTCAACATAATTTCAAAGAACCATAAAATAGAGATAAGCAACAATTAAGAAAAAATAATCAATGGAGAATCTAAAAAGCTTACCAGCTCTGAAGAAAACAATATGGCGAAACGTCACCGAGGTCAATTTATCAACAAGCGACGCAGGAAGAACCCAGAAGATTTGTAAATAGTAACTGCATGCTTTCGATATTTCTTAGGCCCGTAAAATATTTTTCACAGAACTGAATATACAGATTATTTAATTTTACTAGACCTGTGACCCACAATATAGAAAATCTAATCTAATCTAACTAATCTAGCTTAGGTAATAATTATGGTTAGATTTCACCCGTGAAATTTTCATTAAATAACAATTTATTATTTTGAATCTATTTCGAGGCGTACTTTAATCACGTGACTTTATAATCCCATTTTGATCAATTTCGTCACATTTTAAATTAAAAAAAAAGTTACATAGTTACAAGACACAAGACACAAGAAGTTTTGATACACTTTAAAACACAACAAAAAAGATCATAAACGGGTAAAAGTAGACAGCCTGGAAAAATACTTACAAAAATAACCAATAACCGGACTTTTTTAAACTGCTTGTTGTTTGGTATAAAATTGTGCTTGCATCTAAAATCCCGGAAATGTCCGAAGTGACTCGGATCCGTGGGAAACGAAACTGACGTGGTAAACTGAGGCTTCCCGCGCGCTAGATCGGTGTGTAATAGAAATAAATTGGAAATTCTTTAGTCATTTATCTCGGTTTAATTTTGAAAACCAAAACCAAAATTTCTCAAAAACTTTCGTCTTTTTTGGCCGCCGGTGCAGCGTCTAAATTTATGCGTCTAGACGGGGACGAGTCATTTGCGACGTAATGGCAGACGGAGAAACGCATCGGTAAAATTAACGCATTTTTGTGTAACGCTTTTGTCGTCGGGGAGAACACCGATAAGTATATTTTCGCATCGCAAAAATCTTATAGTGAATTGAAATAGATTCGTCATGCGTTTTAGCGTGTCTACGTTTATTTTATATTTATCGGATCGTGCTTATTGCGTCTGAAATAGATTTATTTGACGACGTGAAACGTTGACAACGCGCAGATAACAATAGGTTTGTTCCAACA